TCGTTGAGTCTGAAAATGTCCAGATGCTATTTTGTGGATATGTTCATGTTTGAAAACAAATTCTGTTCTGTCATTATCCTGAAGCACAAAGAGAAGAGTCCCAGTAGATTGAAATGATCAAAGCTCTGATGAGGCAAACCCAGTCGCTGACCGAGCGCTGCAGAGTGTTTGGACCTCAGGAGGCCGACAGCAGGTAATGGCCGTCATTAGCGTGTTATTAGCGCTGTCAGGTGGCGGCGGTGGAGGATGATGGAGCAGCAGCTCACAGACCAGGTGTTTCTACAGACAAATACAGTTTGTTATTACTCACATCAGGAACCTCTTTCTGTTCTGATCTGGAACAATCCACATGTTTGAAACGGACAAATACAGCAGAACCGCTTCTCGATGTTTTCAGACGAAGCAGTGAATGGACATTTTGTGTAGTTTGTGTTTCTCGCGTGAAGAAGCAGCAGGAGAGCAACTGACTCACATACAGATCCTCCAGAACATTTCAGGAACAAGTCCAGACTTGTGTTTTATATCAAGAGACTTTCACTCTCTCTTTTCCTCGTCCTCGATTCCACCAAAACAACTCGGCAGAAGTTTGTCAGCGATGAATCGATTTATTTTTACGATGATTTATTTTCAGTATATCAGTGAATGGATTAATGTAGTTTCAGCTCAGAATCGTGTGAACAGACTTTTCTGGACGTAACTTCAGCAGAAGAAGCAGAGAAGAGATTTTTTCAGGACCACAGCTGTGTTGTGTCTGAACTCTACAGCCGAGGATTTCATTCCTTCACCTCCTCAACTCAGATTCTCTCTATTTGCTCAAATTCTTCTCAATATTTGTGTTTCTCTCGCTGGTGGCAAATGTTTTCCCTCCGAGCTCAGGAAGTCACAAATCAGGTCTGAAAGCTCGAGGTCCGTCGCGGATTCAAACTGCAGCACAGAGGACGGAGCGCCAAGCATCAAGTGTGTGTTGTGTTTTCTGATGTGGTTGTTTTCTAAAAGCAGCGACGAGTTCTTGTTTTTTAATTAAACCAAAGACTCTAAAGAAAGATCAACGACATGACGGCTTCTAAAAATGAAGCTGAAACACCTTGATCGCCCCCTGGTGACTGGCTATTGGTCATAAACTCCGCCTCCTCCATGTTAGCAGATAGGACATGGACCAAAATGAAACAAAATGAAGTATGTATAAATGTTTGTCAAAGATGGTTTCTGTTATTTCTTATCACTCTGATTTGTTCAAGTGTTTCTGGTTTTAATTAGTTTATGATATAAAAACAGGCTGAGACGTCATGATTGACAGCTGAGACTAACTCCTGATTTATTATATATCAAAACTGGGAACTCTAATATGTTTAAATTTGTGTTATCTGTTTTCTTACATATCATATATATATATATATATATATATATATATATATATAGTGACTTTCATATTGTGACTTTTGTGTATTTGAACAGCTGCTACATTTGCTTTTATGTAGACAGGCCCAATTTGTGTCTATAAATCGTTTTCACAACTTTTATATACGTCTGTATTCTCAATTCTTTTATTGCCTGTTCAGGGACAATCGATGAAAATTAGCCCCTACGGCATATTTTCAGAAATGTTGTTAAACTGCACTGTCCCTGACAAATACAGAAGTGTTCAGTTTCAGTGGCAGCGTGGCGTCTGCAGGGGTTTGGTGGTTTTTCAGAGTAAACAGCAGTAAGTGAGGTAGTTAACAGGAGGCTTGTTTAGTTTTCTGCCAAATGACTGACTTCAAATGGAGCGGTGCCTCAGAGACTGAGACTCAGAGACAGGAAAACCTCTGTGGTCATCATCCACCGCTGCTGCTGCTGCGATACGACGCTTTGATGTGGTCAGAGGTCGTTTAGACGATAACCTTCTGCAGAGCGAGAGACACGCTTAGACAAATCTGTCGGTACCAGAAGGAGAAAAGTGGATTTAAAAGAAGGAGACGATGCAGGATGCAGGTTTTAATTCAAGGTTTGTTCTGGATTGTAAAATAAAAGTCACAGTTCGATGTCAAATGTCAGCTGAGAACCAAACGTTTATTATGCCGCTGCTGTTCAGCACGAAGGAATCAACTAGAACCTTCTTTAATGTTCTCCTGGATTTTATTGGGCCTCCAGTCCAGATCAATGGGTTTACATTCAGCTCATGTGTCACGACAGAGAAGAAAATGTTGTTCTGCTTTTCTCAGTTTTTCGGGGGTGTGAATTTGTTCCGATGATGAAACCTCACAACGTGCAAAGAGACTTCATGTCTGGGAAATAACTTCATGTTTGTTTCAGGGACTTTTTGTCGACTCAAGATCAGATGATGCAGAAACTTTTACAACTTAATCTCATTATGACAAAATGTCATATCAGAATTAAAAAGAATTAAATAAGTTTAACACTGAAAACACGAGAAAAGTCTCTGCTGCTACAGTTTGAGGAGAGATTGAGGCGAGAGGAGGAGGTGAAGAGGAGGAAGAGACGAGCGGAGACAAAGTCGACAGAGGAGACGTCGTTATCTTTGAGCTGAATTGAATTAAAGCTCTGATGAGACGGAGACAAAGAGCGATTAGATATCGACTCAGACTGCGACTGAACCCTGGAGGTCAAAGGTCAACTCTCACTTCTGTCTCTGTCGTCGTGGTGCCGCAGACTTCTGTCGTCTCCTCTGAGGTTTAACAGTGTGGGTGGTAAACACACACACACACACACACACACACACACACAGAAGTGGTTCGTAGACATGCTGCTGAAATCCCAGAGGGGTTCATCTAGTGAAGCTCTCTGAATTTACACTCCGCTGATACAAATCTTTTCTTGTGAGAAATTCAATCCCTCGTTCAGCTTCTGCAGGAGAGAGATCGACTCTGGTGGGCGGCAGAAATAATGAAATTCTTACTCGCTCCATTTACACAGGAATGCATCCGAACCAAAGTAACGTATCAATCGTAATCTGAGCCGGCGTTAATCAAACTGTTAAATAAGCAGATTTGATTTGCAGACGACCAGCGACTCTGTGTTATTTCTTTACGTTCCAGGTTTGACACAGTTTGATCTTGTTAGACGAGGTAATTAAAGCCACATTGGATCATAAACACCAACTCCTCCGTGTTAGCGGATGGGACATGAACCAAACAAACAAATAATCTAAGTCATGATGAATAAACGTGGTTTCTGTCATTTCAGGATGTTCTTAATTCACTGATGTTTGTCCAGGTGTTCATGTTTCAGATCAGTTTTGTATACTCTTGACTTCTGTCCGTCTGTAGTTACAGTCTGTGGTAAATAAAGATGGAAATAATTTACATGGATGTGTTTAAAAAGTTAATTTTGCAGCCTCACTGATGTTCATACATTTACATAGAATATATCATTTATCTTATCATATCTTTTCTGTCAGTAATTTTCAAATGGAGCTGCAAGTCTAACAACTATTTGAACTAATATTTTCAGGCAGAGTTAAAAATTCTGACCAGTGAAACTAAATATTTGTGGCATTTTGGTGAAAGGAATTTAACACGTAACGTCATTTAACGTAATTAACAGTAAGTGTGGATGTTCTGGGGGATTTATCGAACATTTAGAAAAGTTAAGTAAACTCTGGATTCTTCCTGTAAGTCCTGATTCATACGAGCTCTGAAACACAGTCATCACTCACGCTCTCATTCTTCTGCAGCGTTTAAATGATTCTAATGATGATGGATGAACTTTCCTCACACACACTCAAAGATGTTTTCTCTCACTCATCTGATTTCATGGATCAGCTTCACCTGCTGCACTGAAACCACAAGAAATCTGCTCTTCAGCTTCACTGACGTCTGAGACGACAGAGAAACGAGATCTACAGGTTGAATATGTTTTAAAATCCGGAGTTGTTGTTCTCTGGACATTTTCCTGCTGTATTCTCATATTCTCCAGAGTTTTGACTGAGGGGCTGGTGAGGAGATACTCCGGAGAACGTCCTCCACAGCACCTGACTTGGACATTCTCACATACAGACCCTCCGCATAATTTCAGGAGATTATCTGGAGTTCTGTGCACATCTGAAAGCAGCTCAGGTGAATCAAACTAAAGCAGAGTGAAGAAGTTGCTTGGTGTTTGGTCTAAAACACCATTGGCCAGAAGTTGTTGTGGGGATTGTAAAGATCCACGTGTCTCTCTGAAGTCTTCACAGAACAATAGTGATGATTACAGACAGAGGATTACAAACTAAGGGAGGGATGATGTAAAACTCACAGTTAGATCTTCATCAGACGTCAGTTTACAAGAATAATAAATTCATTCCAACACCTGAAGATTCTTCTGCACAAGACATTCAATTGCAAATCTACTTGTGCTGGATCTATACAGGAATAACAGGATTTACAACAGCTCTCATTACGCTCTGTACAGTCTGAGCTGCAGGGAAACACATGGAGGAATTACAGGAGGGGACGTTCACTGATTGAAACCAGCTGCCACTCATCCACAGTCATAACCTCAAACTCTGATCTCTGACCTGCAAAACAGCACACACACACACACACACACANCACACACACACACACACACACACAGCTGCTGAACCAAATGCAGTTTATGTTGAAAGAATCCTGAGTCACTGCTTTCTTTGGTTTCCAACACATATTTTCTTCTCGTTTTGTTTTCTCAGGTCTTTTGAGGGAGAGGACAAGAGCGTCCATGGTAACAACCGACAACACTCACACACACACACACACACAGCCATTCTCTTAAGCCTTTAATCAGTGTGTATAATTTTCATGCAGTGCCAACCAAAGCACCGAGCAGCATCTTCTGCAAGAGTCTTGAAAATCACTTCAGAGTAGAAATAAGAAGTTGGATTTACTTTCTATTTGCAGGTTATGAATCAACATCCAAGTCCCAAACGTTCATTATTTCTTTTGCATAACCGTCACCGTACTCGTCTTCTCTACACACGTGTTGCTTTATTCTGAGGTTTGTGGATCTTTAGTCTCCAAACAAGAAGATGGTTGGTCTCTTACCTTCTGCAGCCACTGCGTGTTGTTCTCCATCGTGCTCTCCAGGTGCTGCAGCTTCTGAGCCGACCATTCTCTGTCAGTAGGTGGCGAGTCTCTTTGCACAACGCTCGACCTGCGAGAGTCACCGTACCGTTCGGCCTGTGACGCCCATCCTGCAGCCTGACATCCGTCCAGCTCTGGCAGGATGAAGGTGTAGCTGCACTGTCCATGTTGGATGCGGTGGAACCTCTTTTTCTTCTCTGCACCTCCTCCTCCTCCTCTTCTCTGGCTTCTTCCAGCTCCTCCTCGTTCTGCGCTCGCAACACCGGCTGCATCAGCGACGACCAACAGGGTGCAGAGCAGCAGAAGGACCAGCAACCCCCGGCTGAGATGGAGGCCACGCATGACGCTCTTTCTATATAGATGAAAGTGTTTTCTCTCAGTGTGAAGAGAGTCAAGTGGAGCTCGTTCACGCTTTGACCCCAGTTTCACCTTACGACAACATCTGTCTGCAGGATGCATGCACAAGTATCTGCACCTTGAACGAGTATCTGCACCTTGCACGAGTATCTGCACCTTGAACGAGTATCTGCACCTACCACTCAGTCTATGAGGTTTGAGGTCTCTTCTGCTTCTCTTTAATGTTAGGAGACTTTTCTTGAGGACAGAAACACAAAGCGACACCTGTTCAAATCGAATTTTCTCCTATCGCCTTCTCACTTGTGATGAATAGTTGGATCCATCTCCTCTGTTCTCTCTTTACCTTCTTTCGTCCTTGGGTCTTGAACTTGTTGAGTTTTCAGGACGGGTCCATTGGCTCGACCCACATGGTTTTCCAGAAACTCACTCCTGTCCACAATGTAGCAGGTGCTGCTCAAGAAACACTCAGGAAAAATCTAAGAAGAGAAATCCAAAATGATAAAGAAAGAAGGGTTGGGTGATATGAAGATGTCCAAACTTAATTTTAGAGTAAAACAGATGTTTAGGAGGCAAAGTGAAACATGTGAAAGAGATTTAAAGTTGCACATTGAATGAAAGATGACTAAAAGGCACCTCTCAGTCCTCAAATGTCCAAGAATGAAAGAACAAAGAGGAGAGATAGAACACAGTCTTTTTTCCTTCCCATCCTTTTCTGGTGGCTCCAGCTTCAGAAGTGGCAGAAGAGAAATACTTCTTCCCCTTTTTTATCTGGGGCTGGCTGAGAAAAGGAGGAATGGGTGAGTGAGTGAGGGAGGGGAGAGAGACGGAGAGGGAGGAGTGGACGGACAGGAGACCTGAGGGGGGTCTGTTAGAGTATACCCTCTCTATTTGTGGGCTGACGGGAAGGAGGGAGGAAGGAGGGAATGAGAAGTGGCCAGAAAAAGTAAAAGAAAGAAGATTAAGGAAAAGAGAGAGAGAGAGAGAGAGAGAGAGAGAGATGTAGGGGGTGAAAGATAAGAGAAATAGACAAAAATGAAAGAAAGAAACTTAAATGTTGAGATGCAGATGAAAGCCAGAGAGAAATGGGCCGATAAAAGAAAGAGAGCGATTTGAAGCTGCTGTAATCTGCTTTCCTGACAAACCAGAGCCTTGTATGGTCATTCACACTGAGTCAGCAACTGAAGCTGCAGCTTTTTTCTCTCTAATTTCCAGAGGCTTTCAATTTGAGAGCAGGACTTGTTGGTTTCACATTCAGATTTTGTAAAGCTTTCACTCCAAACCCTACGCTCGCGCTCAAATATACTTTGCAAGTGCTTTGAATTCCTGCGCTCCAGCTCTTCCCCATCGCACTCAAGCTGCTTCTGTACGTGAAACGTCTGTAAAAATCAACTGAATGCTAGGTGTAGTGATGTAGGGAGAAGAATTCACATGTGCAGCATGAGGAGCTGAAGCTGGAGCGCAGGAAATCTGAACTCAAGCAGAGTATATTTGAGTGTGAGCCGGGTTTTGAGGGAAAGCTTTAGGAAACCTGATGCGGAATCAGTAAGTCCTCCCATCAAACTGAAAGACCCCCAATGAAGAGAGGTAATTAACCACCGGTGGTCAAACAGCACAAACTGGGAGCTTGCACTCAAGCAACTATGAAAACTAACTACAGATCTCCTTGTTCCAATCACAAAAGTATAACTACAACAAGGGCTGGACTGTTACATTCATCATCTGCCGTACATTTGAGCACAAGCGGGACAAAGGCGGGGGTGCTTGAGTGCGAGTGCAGGGTTTTGAGTGAAAGCATTATGAAATCTGTATGTGAAATCAATGTTTCAAACACAACCACCACGCTCCTGAATTTAAAAAAAAGAGGAACAAAAGCCACAGAGTTTTTGCTTCTCGTTCTCTGAGGCGTTCTCTGGAGGGGCTGAGGTAAAACCACGCACCCCCCGTTTGTCCAAACCCTCTCTCTGTAACAGGAGGTGCTGTACCTTCCCTCCGCCTCACATCTGTCCTGCTGCTCTGCACTCGACGTGGAAACACATACAGAGATTAGTTCCAGACAGATGGGCCCGGTCCCAGGCTTATGAAACACAAGCTCGACATGTGGTGGGACAATGTGAGATGTCAATTATTGAGTTTATTTGCACAGCGATAAAGCGTTCTGCAGAAGCTGATTGATGCAAAATACGATGCAGATTAAATAGTTTTACCGGGAGATAAGAGACACACTCACAGATGTGAAGATAAAAGTGATAAAACGGAGCGAGGTTCCTGCTGCGCAAACATCGTCCTCTGCTGATCAAAGACGACACAAATCTTCATCTCACAACCGCACACTCGTTCATTTTGCTCTAATGGTCTATTTTTTCAGCACAGCCTGACCTCAAGTCAACTGTTGTTGCAGCATTCGTCTAAGTTTCAGCGAGGCCGAGTCACTCTCTTATAACGTTGGCCAACGGTTCCTCTGGGGGAAAGCAGAGAGGTTACTCAGTGAACGGCTTCTGCCCCCGACCACAGATCATTCTCATGGGAACGTGAGTCTGGAGCTCGGAGCTGAGAAACACGGAGCTGGTGTTTCTGCTCAGAATCTACTTACTGCATCGTTTGAATTCGTTTTTTAAGAAGTTTGATTGATACCGAACACAAATCTCTCCTCCGCTCCACTTTGAAAATGGTTTCAAATGTTTTTTGAGAGCTTCATAAGTACAGTTTTCACAAATTCACACATTCATACACTGCATCAATGTATGCTTTGTCACACGTGACTCAAACTGCTGGTACGAGGCAATTTGGGTACAGAATCTTGGCCAAGGACAAGTGGAATGGGGAAGACTGGTATCTAACTGCTAGTTCGTGGACAACCCGCTCTACCTCCTGAGCCCCAGCTGTTTTCTGTTCACCTCTCCCCCTACGCCTCATTTCTCTGCCATTCATCATCTCTCATACAAACCAGAGGAGCAGAGTTCTGAGTCTGGTCCTGTTGCATTTATTAGATGTTTCAGACATCAGCATCAAACTTGCCTCAGAGTCTGCTGAAGACGCAGAGTTGGACACTGACGAGTATGTCACTGATCCGATCCCATGTTTTTAAAGAATATTAGTTTCTCCTAGACAAATCACTAGTTCTCACTTCCATACCTGTTTAGTATAAAACTGGTAAAATACATTATATGAGTTGTTTTAAAGTCGCTGGAGTCGGTTGGATTCTTCCAGTTGGGAACTTTTGGGTTTAAGGATCCTGAGCTCACTGTATAAAGTGTGAATTTTAATATTTGTTTTCGATTCGATGTGGCAGCACAACATCATCTCGTAGTTCGTCCGTCATGATCACACTTATTTATGTTTCTGCTCAGACTCACTCGGCTCTTTGTTAAAGATCCTGCTCTGGTTTAATACAGAGAAATGACGTGTGACAGTTGTGTGTTTAGCGCAGCCAGCAGCCGCTCCACCGCCTACTGTGACGCTGGACGTGTGGTTTCATTTGGTCATTCATTCAAAACTAAAAATACACAACAGAACATAATCCAGCCTGAGATTATGTTTCCTACAAAAGATTAGTCTTATAGAAATGTAATTTTTAGAACACAGACTATGAATATCCAGACTTTGGATCAGTATGTTGCGGTTTCTGGAGCTAATCCTCATCTTTGTTTATTTTAGGATTAGTACCTCCTTGTTATTTTAACAATCATCTCCATGTTGAGTAACAGCACAAATCAAAAACCTCTCTGGTGATTGAGATCTCAAAAACTTCACCTGAGAAAAGTTGGTTTCTCACATTTTAGTCGAATTATGAAAGTCATTGAAATCAGATCATTTCTATTTCCGAGTTTCTCCCGGCTGATATCAGGAATAACTGAGTCATGAACCAGGCCTTTCACCTTCCCTCTGTGGGAAGATGGATGAGGATGTTGGGTTTGTTTTATTCCAGGATCCGATTTCAGCAACGACTCTTATTTTTGTCCCCTTCTAAACTTGATGTTTGTCTTTTTGCTTTTTTAAATCAAGGGTCTGGCTTTTCTCCTCTTTCTCGCTCCTCTGCTGCTGGACACATTTACCTCCTCATGGTTTGGCACAGTGATCGTACGGTGGTCGTCCTGCAGTGGTTTAGGCAACAAAGCACTTTGAGCAAAGCTGGTGTTTTAGGTTAAATAAACAATGCACAACACAACACAAGGTCGATATTTTGTGGAAAGATGATATATTTTGGAGGAAAACTAATTATTCTTGATGTGTTAAAGAGTTAACTGGACCCAAAATGCAGATGTGTGAGCATAGGCAGGTTAATCAGGACAGAATATTTAATCAGAAATAAATGCTTACGTTCTGTGTTTGAAGGTTGGGAAGCAAAAAGTGATTCAGGCTCCAAAAATCAAAATTTAGGCGACAAAATAAATCATTTTAGAAGATGGGACGAGATGGTGAATATCCCTTGTGAACTGTGGAGCACAGAGACTAATACACATGAAGGAAGCTGATTGGACGCAGGTGAAACACATCAAGATGTGACAGTCATCACAGGAACCACGCAGAGAGGACAGGAAGTAACACAAACAAGGTAAGTGGTTTCAAAGTAAAACAGGAAATAATAAAGTTTAAAGATATTGAAAAACACATTTTACTGATGTGTTCTGGATCAGCAATGGATGAAAGTTAAGATGGACGAGATGACGGCTCCCAAAGCATATCGATCAGTAATGGTCATAAACTAACGGATGGACGGATGGATGGAAGGATGGACGGACAGATGGATGGAAGGATGGATAAATTCTTCCACTATTTGTAATGACTCTCAGCAGTGAGTTAAACTGCTGGTGTACAATTATTTTGTGAAATAAGCAAAATGCTCCAGAAAATCCAAAATGAGACAGAACTCCAAACAAGCAGTGCTCTGACACTTGTTGCCATTTGTTGTTTTGAGGACTTAAAGTCTTTAAGCTGATGATCAACTAAATATAAATGTAAATAAATGCTTTTAATGTTAAAAGACATTTGAACGTTTGCACTTTTGTCCCTTCATTTATTTTTGTTAAGATAATCCACTTTTCAAGTTTAAATATGACCTATTATCATATTCAAAGCTGTGAAGTGAAGAATAATTTTCCATGTTCCACGTTGAAGCTGAAAACTTTTGACCAAATGTGGTCCCAGTGTAACTTTGCATCAGCGACTCTTTAAGTGTCAGACGGGCGTCAGTGATTTCCAGTGCTTGTCCACGTTATGTGTTTATCTTCATGATTGTAAGTGCTTCAGCTCGACTCTTATTATGGTCATTCCATTATATTTGTTGAGTTTTTCTGACTATCGGAAAAAGATTAAGAAAGATTAAAGACATGATTCATCATTTAACATGAACCTTCTCAGAGTCCTGATGATTTTATGGCTCCGAGCGAAACCGTCCGTCTGAAAGAGTCATGACACTGTGATGGGTTTGATCTTTTTTAAGCTGCAGTGATTCCTCCAATACTTCCTGGATATTTTGTTGCTAGGCAACATGAGGCGAAACTGACAAATATTATGAAAACACAAATAAACTGAAGCAGCTCACAGGCAGCGGCTATTTGTTCAGTTTCCACATCGAGATTTCTCTTGATTTTGAGAAAACCATCACTTTTATCCACCGTGTGACCTCTGAACTCTGACTGTGTGAAGAACAAGAGAAGAAGAACATCACATCACAAGTCTTACACGTTAAGTAAAAAGTTGTTAGTTCTTGTTTATCTGAATAATAAGGTTTTTGGACCAATCACAGGAAGTAGAGACCGCGTTAAACAATAGAAGAAGAAGAAGGAGAGGAAGGAGAGGATGATGTAATGTTTGAAACTACCTGAAAAGTTGTATCTGGCTGTTGGTTTTCGGGTTCGGTTACTTTTCTCTCGGGCTCTAATGAGTTCAGACAGAAAAACGTAGACCAAGCTCCAAGGGTCAGAAGATATCTGCTTCATATTTCCCGCATCAGTTGTGTGTACGTCCTGAGAAATTAAAGCGTCGTGCAAGATGCAACACCTGAGAGCTCCCATGCTCCCATGCAGAGGAAAGAGAGGGGCAGTGGAAAACAAAATGCATTCTGGTAAATGTAGGAAAAGGCTTACTGTAGCAGAGCATACTCTGCAGGTTTTGGGAAATGGAGGCATCTAAAAACAAGTATAAAGATAAAAAAATGCCCTGGAATGCTCTGAACATGACAACGTGATCAAAGAGTTGAAGAGAAGTTAATGGGATGTTTTCCATTAAAAACTGTGGGACTGAAGAGATAATAATGTTTCATTTAATGGAAATGTCTGATAGTTTATAATCTGCTGGTTGAGTGTCTGTGAGCGGCTGAAAGAGAAGGAGAGCGAAATGGTTTCAGGGAGGGAGCTCAGTCATATCATTACTTTGGTTCTATCTTCAGAGAGACTTCAGCTTTTTAGAGATTTCAAAAGCTCGGCATAAATGGAGGAAGATTTCCCACCATTAGTGACGAGTGTGTTTACACTGTAGTATCTGCTTCATTCTAACTGTATCGCACGAGTAATTCAAACCCTGATAAGCGAACATGAAGATAACAAGGTCACTCAGTGAATTCACGATACTGAAACAAACAAAAACCTCCATCCTCAGAGAGAGAACGGTTGATTTTCAGGAATTAAACACAGCCTTGCTGAGAGTGACTTCCAAGTTATTAATGCAGAAAGGATTTTGCACCTCGGTGCGGGAGCATGTGGATTGTTGTGGGTGAGTCTGAAACCTGTGGGTGTGGTGAATGAGCGAGTGGAATTTGCAGGAGGTCAGTCTGCAGCCGGCGGTTCCTGACAGGCTTCTCCATCCCAACGTAAACACGCTGCTGCTCCTCTAACTGCAGGGAAACATTAACCCTCATCAATCACACGTTACAGAGAAGTGCCAACAGGCTCCAACACATCAGGGGCAGAACATTTTATTCTAACTATACAACAAACTGAACCTGTCGCACACGTTCTCTCTGCTTTTCAGACGCGAGATGCATATTTACGTTTGACTCTCATCATAAAATCATCCTCTTTTCATTTGAAAAGTAGTTTCCTGATTCCAGGAAATAGCCACAGCCTTAAACTTCAGAGTCTCACACTGGCGAAGGCTCTCGTCTTCTCCTTTTACACATCATCAAACTGAATGTCAGCATTGGTAGTTTCACATCGTACCTCACCTCCTCGGAGACGGGTTAATGTCCAGTGAGAACAACGGACTGACGGACGAATATTCCTACTTAGAAAATCATCTCTTCTTTAGCCAGTAGACTGATTTCAGTTGCCGTTATATTAATAATATATTACACATTTATTGTTCACGATTCAAGGTTTCTGCAGGTGCGATCAGATCCTCCATTTATAGATTAACACCTGAACTTCCCCCAAAGCCACAAAATCCACAAGACAAATAAACAACAAAGTACATCACATGTCGGGTTTCTGACCAGCTTCACATTTCTCTTCTCAGCAGCAGATCATGAACAACTTACAAATCACAGCCTTTACAACCAATCAGCTCTGCATGTGTGTGTGTGTGTGTGTGTGTTATCTCTGTTTTCCTTCCAGCTTCACAAGCACACTCATAAAGCATTAACACACACTCAGCCATTGTTCCCGTGTTTCACTTGGAGCAGACGACAAACGTTATCAGACTCCAAACCCACAACGAGCCAAAGGCAAAAAGCAGTTTGCTTTTTTTCCCCCCTGAAATAAACGGGGTGTCCGTCCCAGTCCGCAGGGCCCAGATACCCAGAGGATTGTTGTGTGATTAGTTGATAGAGACGAACTGAAATCTTCAGCTCAGGCGACATAATCAAGTGTGTGTGTGTGTGTGTGTGTGTGTGTGTGTGGAGGTCAGTTTTTTACAGTGGCAGCTCCTTCAAGAAATTAGGGATCATGGGTAATATCCCGTTGTGTTTCAGTTTCTCTGTAAAAGTCATCGTTTCACACTCGTCAGGTAGAACTGAGCACGACTGAGAATCATCACCGTTTGTGAAGTAACGTCAAATTGAATTTTTAG